GGGATTTTAACACCTTCATGAATGTTCCTTCTGGGTTCTCTATGGATGCTTCTTCAACTGTCAGAAAGGAAGGGACTGCTTTGATAGGGGAAGACTGATAGCTTCTTAGCACTCCCCCACTTCACAACCCCAGGGAATACATTAGGGGTCAGCAAAGATTTGAGTGTCAATAGAGGGGAAAAATAAGCCCAAACTTAAGCCCATGAAATGGTAACAGCAAACAGAAAAAGACAAGCCTGAACAAAGTAATTACCTACTCGGGACACCTGAGTACAAAATTTTGCGTGAAATATAGGAACTCTATTAGAAAAGGACATCCCAAATGCCTAGTACTTAATAACAGCCCAAGGCTGGAAAAGAAATATTCATCCTCTGCGTAGCTTCTCTTAGAAGAGCCATAACCCTCCACATTCACATGCCCCATTTCCTGTCCGGCCATAACTGCAGAAGCAGCACAGACTGCTTCTCTCCACCTCTTGAGTGTGCTGTTTTCTTCTTACCACCAGAAACCATGACAAAGGATGGTCCTCAGGATAACAAGTGCGGAGGCTACCCTAGAGGTCCATCTCCTTTTTAACAACAGGTCCTCAATTGGACTTCTTCTTTCCCACCTACCTTCCCAGTACCTTCACTTGAGCTCTGATTCTATATGTCCTGCTTCCCTAATCGTAGACTCTACAATTTGGACATAGGGTTGGGATATGTTAAGCAATTTTCTGTTATCCTGGTTGTATGTTAATGCACAATCAGTAAGAAATCAATAGAGTAATAGCAATTCTGCATAAATATGACTTGTTCTAAAATATGCAACAGAAAATCCTACGTTTTTGTTTTGCATTACTGGGATTTGAACTAATGACTTTGTGCTTGCCAGTTTGGGAGTCCTACAGCCACTCGAATTCCACACTTGCTCCTTTTTGCTTTAGTTACTGTTTGGTTAGGGTTTTCTCTTTTTATTTTCCCAAGCTGGCCTCTAACATCAATTCTCCAGTTTATAGCTTCCCTCTTAGGATTAGAGACACATGCCACCCCAGTTGTCTTACAGGTTGAGATGGTATCTTACTAAATGTTTTCCCAGGCTTACTTGGAACCATGATCTCCCTTATCTCTCCCTTCTGAGTAGCTGTGGTTATTGGCATAAATCACAGCATGGGCCAAAAAAGCTCCTTTTCATTTCAAACTCTCCAGTGTTACTTGAGAAGTATTCAAAGAATCAGAGAACATGAACACTTATTAGTGTGCCATCCAGTACTTAGGAGAATTAATGTTCTTTTCTTGGTAACGAAGTAGGTCACAGAAGGAGGTTAGATGGTGGGAAAAGAGGAACTTTGGCTTCTGGTAAGTCCAGATTCGAGGGTTCAAGACTTGAGCATGAGGCTATAGTACTTGACTTCTCTGAACTAATTTCCCTCAGCTATAAAAGATGAAAAAATCCTTGCTTGCCTATCACTGATAGAGAAGGAAATAATGGCATTAATGAAAAATTGTTTTGATAACTAAGCAACATGGTAGCAGATTGTTATATACTTTTTGCCCTACATCACCAGTGGAAACCTATATTCAAATCTGTCATGTTTTGGAACTCAGAAAGTTAAATCTAGTAATGTACAGGGAAAAATGCTTCAAAACAAAGGGTTATCCTGTGGGTAGGAAAGCTTGACATTGAAGCAAGTTCAGAGTTGGACAGTCTAGACCTGGAAGAGGCCTTTGATTGGTTATGAAAGCTAGGTAACAACTGGTAGGTAGAAAATTAGAAATTCACAGGATCCAAATAAGACAACATCACTTCTACTGTTTAAGAAAACAAAGCAGAACCTAGCTGCACTTGTCACAGAGATAAAGAATACTTGAGACTTAAAGAATCTTACAGTCTACTTTGCACCATCTGAATAAAATTATTATTGGAAGGCAGAGTACCAAGCAGAGACCACAGTACATGCAAAGTGGCCCTTGATAATCTCCTTTCTTCTTGCATTCCCTTCTCTTGGTTCTCATACATATGGGCAATTAAATGATTGAATTATACAATAACTCCTGAAAAGGGGATTTTCATCTAGGGAACAGTTCATAAATGTAGAGAGATTAGCTCTGGATAAATGAATAAAAAGAAAGCAATTATTAATTTACAAATCATCACCAGGGAGAAGTAAAAATTCAAACAGACTCACGGCAGTGTGTATTGTTTGTCAGCAAGTCACTGTCACAATGTAGCTTGACTGTCTTGCAGATAACCTCAATATTGTTTTTAAATTAGCAGAGGCAGCTGGCCATATTGTGAGGCAAGACCCTATAAATGGAAACGTTGAGAATTAAGTTAATGGAGAAGAGGTTACTGAGTGGTAGAAGAGCCAATGAAACGCCATTAACTCCATTGTTCCCCTTCTTGGTTTGAGCCAACAGGCGAGGACTGTTTATTGTCAGCGATGGTCACAGACCTTCTCGTGGGATTGGAGGTTTTGTGAGGGGGTAAATTGACATCAGGTTTGTAGGGGCTTGAGCAAGGAATCAGAGGTTAATGAAAAATCCATTAGGACTAGGGAGTTGGGTGCTTTTCGGGTGGGCCCACAATGGAATATTTACAGCTGAGCTTAGGTGGATTGCCCTCCCTGCACATCAAGCAGGTCTGTGCATACCAGGGGTTTTGCCTGTGTCTGATTGTGCCTGGAACAATAGTGTTGAGGTCAATCCTTCACATTCCATCTTTAGATACATAAAATGATTGGGCCATGAGGGGAGAGGCATGTCCTTCCATTACAATTACAGAACTCAGAAATGAGTACATTCTTATTGGGCAGTATCGACCCTTCCCTCACTCTCTTCCAGTTTTTCCCTCTGCCTCTACCCACCGGTGGTATAGTTCATTTCCAACATAATGGCTAATGTGTACCCCTGCTGCATTTTCTCACCCAATAACTCTTTTCAGTTGTACAGAAAAGAGCTGTTGAGGAACATGGCCTGAACAGTTGAAGAGGAACCCTTTGGTAAACTTCTGCTCTTTAATATTTGAAAACAGGAAGGAAGACTGAGGGGCACAATAGAAGGTTAAGCATAGGAGTGATGTGGTTCTGAATCAAATTGAGGTAACAGATTAGAATGAAGAGGCCTAGATTTGTAGTTTATCTCAGAAGCATTTCCTATCAATTCAAAGGCCTCTGGGTGGTGAGTGCACAGGAAGGAAGAAGACTTCTAAGAAGAGTTTGCAAAGCTCCCAAACTCAGAATCCCCTGCCTCAATTTTTTCTTCCTTCTCTTTCTCTCTTTCCTTCCTTCCTTCCTTCCTTCCTCCCTATTTTCCTTCCTTTTCTTCCTTCCTTCCTTCCCTCTCTTTCTTTTCTTTCCTTTCTTTCTCTCTTGCCTTGGTTATGGGCCTTGAACTCTGGTCCTCAGAGGTGTCTGTTACTTCCCTGTGTTTTAAAGAAATCTTCCTGTGGACCATCCTGGCTTGTGATTTCTGCTTTCATATTTACACATGCAGTGTCAAGTGACCCTCATTGATGGACAACAGGTTTTTGTATGTCCAGTCATTTTGGGCTGCACAGTTCTTTGCTGTGGAGCCTTGTCCCGTCCACTGTAGGATGCAACCAGGACATCAGCATCCCTCTAGACATGTCTGCACACTACATGCACATAGCATATCCACAGTTGCTAAATGACTTCTGGGTACAGGCCATTCATTGGCGAGAACAACTGCTTTGTAATGATTCTGTCTGACCTATAATGATTCTCACACTCATCTTTGCTAGTCTAAAAGAATTTCATTTATATATAAAGTAAATTTTCACTAGCAAAATTTAATTCTATTTCAAAAGGAGCTGATATATGTGAAATAATGACATTTTTTGGGGGGGGCAAGCCTTGGGGCTTGAACTCACGGCCTTAGCACTCTACCACTTGAGCCACTGCACCACTTCTGCTTTTACTGTTTATGTGGTACTGAGGAATCGAACCCTGGGATTCATGCATGCTAGTCAAGCACTCTAGCACTGAGCCGCATTCCCAGCCTGAGATAATGAAGCTCTATTTGCAACTTACACGAACTTCAGGAAAGGCAATGATTCAAATGTCCGTCTTTCAATTGACTGTATTTTATTGCAGGACAAATCTCTAGAAAAAGAAAGAGGAAAATATTATACTCAGAATCTATTAGATATCTAATGAGGATGATTAAATAGTAGACTTTAACACATATAATATTGAACACATAATAATTATTTCTAAATTATAAAGCTTTGGATTTTAACTTTCTTTATCAAGTAAGTAACAGTTACACCTATTCATCATGATCATCTGATCAATGAAACATGTAATTATAGATACTGATGGATTTTGGATAATCTTTCAAGAGAGTAGGACAACGAACAGGTAATATTTTGTATTCTCATCAAATTAAGCTCAAGGTTGTAAGCTCTGTATATAATATATACTGTAAGGTTCTATACATTTATATATAATGTATATTTATATACAATGTGTAAGATAGTCATTGCATATCTGTTATATGTATAGCCTATAGGGCTGTACTAGGGCTTGAACACAGGGCCTTGCACTGTTGCTAGGCTTTTTCTCTTAGAAGCTTATGCCCTATGACTAGAACCATACGTCCACATTGAGCTCTTTGCTGGCAGTACACCTTTTCTGCACTTCTGCTGCACTGTTGCTTGACCTTTTAAGCCCATGAGTTCTTAGAGGGTAGATCCCTGCCTTACTCATCTTTGTTTGCTCCAATCTAGACACAGCCAATTTATCTCCTTTTTTATTGGTGAATGATGATATACACGGTAGTGTGATATAAATAGCTTGCAATGCATTTCATGGTAGGAGAAGCAAAGGGATGATTTCATGGAGAGTTTTCTTATTTGTTTCCTTCCAACCATGTTTGGAGGTTTGAGAGCCCAGGTGGCAGAAAGGCCACAAAGAGTCAGTAGAAAACTAGGCATCATGTGCTGGGAATGTGGCTTAGTGATAGTCCTTGCCTAGCATGCATGAAGCCCTGGGTTCCATTCCTCAGTACCACACAAACAGAAAAAGCCACAAGTGGTACTGTGGCTCAAGTGGTAGAGTGCTAGCCTTGAGCAAAAGAAGCTCAGAGGAGACAGTGCCCAAGCACTGAGTTCAAGCCCCAGGATTGGGGAAAAACAAACAACGACAATGACAAAAACTAGTCATCACCTTAGAACCTAGCAGGGTTGATAATTCAAAGAATTATTTTTTTGTGTCATGCAAATCACTTGATACTCTCTTCTATTTTTGAACAAATTAACTTGAAAATAGCTCATTATGGTAGGAGCCTGATTAATGGAAACATTCATAAGCTTAATGAAGAATGGATCTTTGGACCTCATGGACAAAGCATAAAAATGAGTTGAAACACACTTTTTTTTTTTGTGCCAATGCTGAGGTTTGAACTTAGGCCTTGGATGCTGTCCCTTAGTTTCTTTGCTCAGCGCTGTTGCTCTACCACTAGAGTTACACTTGCCCTTCTGGTTGTGTCCTATAGGTGGAGATGCGTGCACGGGCATTTGCGTGCTGGGGCTGAATCCAGGGCCTGCTGCTGTCCCTGAGATACATTTTCTCAAGGCTAGTGCTCTACCACTTGAACCACTTCTAGTTTTCTGGTGGTTAATTAGAGATAAAGAGTCTCCTGGACTTTCCTGCCCCAGTAGGCTTGAAATTGGGATCCTCAGATCTCAGCCTCCTGAGATCTCAGCCTGTGCCTGGCCAGGCTGTACTTTTTCTTTTTTCTTTTTGCCAGTCCTGGGGCTTGAACTCAGGGCCTGAGCACTGTTCCTGCACTTCTTTTGCTCAAGGCTAGCATTGCCACTTGAGCCATAGCACCACTTCCAGCTTTTTCTGTTTATGTGGTACTGAGGAATTGAGCTGAGGGCTTTATGCATGCTAGGCAAGCACTCTGCCACTAAACCACATGCTCAGCACTAGGCTGTGCATTTTTAAGAAAACATTTTTATGAGCCGGGCGCTGGTGGCTCACGCCTGTAATCCTAGATACTCAGGAGGCTGAGATCTGAGGATCGCGGTTCAAAGCCATCCGGGGCAGGAGAGGCCGTGAGACTCCTATCTCCAATAAACCACCAGAAAACCGGAAGTGGCGCTGTAGCTCAAGTGGTAGAGCGCTCGCCTTGAGCTGAAGAGCTGAAGGACAGTGCCGAGGCCCAGAGTTCAAGCCCCACGACCGACCAAAAAAAAA